AGCTGAGTAAATTGTACATATTATCACTATTCTATCGTTGGTTCTGTGTTTTCACAATAACATATTGTATAAGGATCGGATATGGACAATTGGGAATAGGTTCCAGGGTCGCCTCATATTTTATTGAAATTAGTTGAATGTTTGTTCAATACGTTATCGACTGTAAGTGTTCTCCTCTCAGAGCACCCAAAGTCTCCATCCCCAGAGACACAGCCAAATCGCTGGTGTGCAGCTTTGGGGTTACCTAGAACTGTATATGGCGTGTATTAAGAAAAAACTATATATATATATATGTATATATATATACATGAGATGAATCAAGGTCCCCACCATATGTAGTGGGGATGGTGTGGATTCTGGCGTGATGACTAAAGTTGGGTGAGTGCAACAGCCAGGCGGCACCAGACCAGTCTTTTTGAACCTCTTTGAGACATCGCACTTTCTGAAACTGACATGTCACCATCGATGGGAAGATGAGCTCACCAACACAACCCGAGGAGCACGAATGTCATTCGCTGGTCATTGCTGTAGGGAGAGGCATTCCTGCTGTGGTCTTTGGACTAGTTCCTATTGATCAACAATCCATTATGGAATTCATGTCCTGGGGTGGTTTCAAAGGTCAATGTCAATGTAGGTAAACTTGCCATGCGAGAGTTGTCGGGGATTGATAAACCAGTTTCTCCTTCAAATCCTCTTGGGGATGCCAGCTCCGTGGTTTCCGGAAAAATGTTCCTTTGTCCGTGCAGCGGACCTGCCTTGCAACGGTTCAAAGAACAGGAAACCAGGTGATCGACTCAGTTGGCCCAAATTGTTAATATGTTAATATGATAGTAGCTGACCTTGACTTCTCCTTGTCCATTTGATCGTTATGAGTGAAGTCCGGTCCCACAAAGTCGACACGTATGCCGTAAACAGGGCAACCCTTCTGGGCCACAGCATGATTGACTGAGGAACTCTTCCAACAAAAGAAAATGAAACGGTTCATCCATGCCGTGTTTTTCCCACGTGACCTGCAAGGAAAGCTCCGCAAGCTCCGCACCAGGTGCAGGATCACTGCAAGATCCTGCAAGGTTGGTCAGTAAGAACCCAAATCACATGTTGTGCACCAGATTTGCATACTGCTCGGGAAAAAACACATGTTTGTGTTTCCTTTCTTTGCCAGGGCCAAGAGAAGACCATGCGATTTTTCCGGTGATCGACTGCTTCATTGCGGGCTCCACAGATGTAGCTGTGGGTCAAATCCCGGACCCCCAAAAGCTCTGGTAGGCTGACCATGTCTTCGTAGTCCGCATTCGCAGCAGTTCGCAGCGGTGGGTCTCCTGGCTTTGATTTAATAGAGCGGAGATCCACAAGTCTACAACCAATGTCGGTATACCAAGCCGATCCCTCTCTTTGATTCCCAATAATGTAGACTCTTGATGACTAAACACCCCCCACTGGAATGGGAAAATCCTCTTCATACCGGGGTGATCAATAAAATCCACGCGTCTACATAGGAAGGACATCCAAAACACTCCCGGTGGCCATCCCAAGGCCCAAGGTGGCGAAGGAACATCCGCTTCCTCTCGGTGGAGCTGCTTGGGCGGAGAGATGGAACGCACGTCTGACTTGGCTCATGCGACGGAGAGAACAAGAAAGTCGGTTTTTCATATGGGTCCACCGAGAATTTTACAAGATTGGTTCTTCCCAATTGTGTGACGGTGGTGGACATCCAGAAAACATGGACACACATGCAAAGAGCAGCTCGAATATCAAGGAGTCTTGCACGGGGGATTGTGCATGGAGTCCATGGCCTTCAAACAAAGCCCTGTTCCCAGCTGTTCCTAGGCTGGCACATGCTGGCACCCTAGGCTCCACAGGTGGGCTTGGGCCCGGACTTGCAGCCTTCGCCCAATCACTTGGTCGCCCAGGTTATGGCACGCCGAGACCAAAGAATTGGTCGCTGGCGAAATAGGCCGGGGACTTGGGAGGATTGAGCAGGTCCACGTATTACTTCAAGCATTGAGCCTCGGTTGACACCATGGCCATAGTCATCCATGGTCCAATATGCATCACTGAAGTCCCAACATGACCTGTAGAGGCTTTGGAGACGAGATGCTGAGACAGGTCGCAACCTGCAAAGCAACAAAGTCCGGGACGGCCGCTCCATTTGCAATTCTAAGTTACAGCAAAGACCATTTCGATACAAGTGGGAGCGCATACTGGCACCTTCGGTTAAGCTCAGAGCTAGCTTGCTTGCCACCTCTGATCTTGACGAGCCCAAAGCACAGCAAAAACTGACACATGCCCCTGGTACTCTTCGACGAAACGTGGTTTGACTCTGCAGACTGCTTCGACTGCTTTCGACTTCACCGACTTTCACTTCTTTGGTCCGACTTCGGTCGTGCCGGTGCGGTGCGTCCAACATGCCGACTTCGGTTCGTGGGCGATGAAAATAGGTGAAGATGGCGGAAGGTGTTGAAAGTGGTGGAAGGTACATGAAAGGTCCCAAAGGCCCCAAAGGTACATGAAGGCCTCAAGTGGTACATGAAGACAGCCAAAGGACATGAGTCCATGAAGGTGCAACGTATTTTTGGGAAATGCCCCGTGAGATGGAGATGGCAGCATTGCGATGAGGGCCCGAGGGCCCCGGACTTGATGAGGCGGCACCTGGTGTTGTTGGATGCTAAAGAAGCTGCATCTGATAGGATCCATCAGATTATTTTGCACTGACTTTTGTATATATGTGTCCCATTTTTTGTATATATGCTGGGATGGCAAGATTATTATTGCATATGTTTGCAGAGAAGCTTCATGTTGACAAATTTGAAGACCATCTTTCCCCGCAGTTTTGGAGGCTTCAACTCTTTTGAAAAGAATGGTTTTGATTCTGAGGTTGTTCGGTTTTGATGATCCATGATTTGACGTTTTCTGCTTGTGTTGATCCATGGTGGTCCAGGACGACCAGACTGGCGATTCTGGACAGACTTTGGGGGGGGTGGGACCGGATTTTTCTGGGCATTCGATTCACTCCCATTCGATTCGAACACCCGAGAAGGTCAAGGTGTGGACCGTCCGACGGGTCGAACCTTTCGGCGAGACCCGAGACCATCCGGTCCGCTCCGGGCCGCCTCGCCCGGGCCGGGCGGTGGGACAGGACCGGGAAGTGGATGACCTTGGGCCCTCGGGGTGGGACACGCTTGGGTCGTCCCGATCCGGCAGGTTATACCTGTGGTGGGCGCCTCAGACTGGCCGCAGGTGGTGGGACCTCGCGATGGGTGAAAAGGCGGGTGGACATGTCAAGGTCGAGCGAGGGAGACTTTTTGGACATCCTTGGAATCTTTTAGCCTAAATCATTTGGAATTCAGCTCTATATCTAAAGAAACTATGTTGTTTTGGTATGTTTGGTGACCTTATTGGTTTTAGAGAAACCAGTCCAATGGGGTTTAAAACTGTGCATGTTTTTGGGGGTGTGTTTTGGTTTAGTACTTCCTTTGCTGCCAGCAGTGATAGGTCCGGTGGCCCCTGGGGAGCGAATCAATGACCTGATGGACTTGAGAGGAAGTCTTTCTAGAGTTCTTTAGTCATGTGTGTTCGGGTCCAACAATTCCTTCCAACAGGATATCAAAGCCAAACATAGTTAAACATAGCCAAACTTCTATAACAACATTGAAAGGAACCTGCGAGTTTCCCTTTGGACGGATCAAGTATGGAACAAACGGTGGAAGCTCAAAGGGCAGCGAGAGGAACATCAGCGGCCAAGAACAAAGTCGACTGTTGAAAACAGGGGAAAGGTAGGTTTGCAAAAGCATGCAAAATATGTTTATGATTCATGCCTTTAACAATAAACATGATAAACATGTTATGTTGGAATTGTAATTCTTAAAGCTGCGGTACAATAATCACCCAAGATCCAACCTTCGGACAACTGGGGTTTGACATCTTCAGCGACACTCGTGATCTTGGAGAAAAAACAGATAAAACAGGGATGATACCCTTGAGATGGATGAATCAGAGCATTTTAGCTCACCTGCCCTGGCAAAACTTGTTGAGGATGAAGAGGTTCCACACGTTGGAAGGGGTTTTAGGTCAGTCTACACCATCAATGCTCCGAGTATCCCTGAATGAAACCAATGAAAGCATAATCATAGAGAACACACACTTCTATATTGATGTTCATCGACTATATCAGGCTTCGGGTGCCGAGTTTTTACAGTTTTTACCCCACATCCAGTGCCACATCCACATCCACTGCAGCCATTCTCCCCACCATGAAGCCAGCTCAGGCAGCGTGTACAGGCAAGCACACGCGTGTTGTTTGCGCTCAGTCGAAGATGTCCCCAACTGCAGGTGTTTCCAGGGTCATGTGAACCAGATGGATGCCTCTTCCCTGGCAGTGGGTCATGGGAGTCCTGGTCACCCTGGTCACCTCCGGGTCGTTCCATTCGTCTATTCTCTTCGTGTGAAAAAATCCGGTCGGCTTCCCCGGTCTTGGTCCGCCGGTCTTGAGCGAACACCGCGTCTTCTTCTGAAGAGGGCGAACTCTGAGATTTGTCCGATCATTTTTGGGAGAAGCTGTTTGTAAGGAGAAACAATAATATTACAGGACATACTGTTTTTACATCAAATCCATGTACTCATCAATATTTTATAGTACCAACTTGTGATCCTCAGGGATAAAATCGTCCGATCTCCCTGTGGAATCTCCCTCTATGAAGAACGGGATACCAGATGTTGCCAAAACTGCCGAACAAAAACACGACCAAACCCAAGCAACATTCCCCACCCGGTTGTTTGTTGATCCGTTGAAAGATAGATGGGCCTTTTTGTGAAGGGATGTTCTGTTTTTGGGCCTCGTTTTGGCTCCGGGTGCGGAAAATCATCCAACGTTTGGCTCCGCACCCAGCGGACGGTGCTGTTTCGGACCGTCCGCTGTGGATCGTATTGGAAGAGTGTATTGTTTGGGCAAAAACGAAGAATAGCACTGACCCAGTCACTGACCCTCTGAAAGCGGGCGGAAAAGGTGATAGTTGGTTTGGGCGGTGGGTGATCTAATAAGAGCAAAGTCACTCAGGCTCTAGGTATGCATAACTTATATATATAATGTATGGTAGTATATATACAGTATATAATATATGGTAGTCTTATTCTCATAGTTCTTTGGGATGAACAAGGCCACTATTTTTCAAGAAGAAGCCTGCTGTGTCGAAGTTGAGGCCATAGGCTTTGGAGATTCTGGAGGCAGAACCACCGACCACTTGGAACCACCGACCTGGACTCAACAAGCGCCCTTGGTCAAGTGTCTCTCCTGGTCAAAGCCAAGTCTTGCCCACTCAGCAAGGAAAATGTATGAATGTAGTGATTTTTAATGATCTTTAAATAGGGAGAGCTCAACCAATCGGTAGACTGGTCTATTTTCCTTCTTACAGGAGGCCTTTAGGAGGTCTCCCTATTTGAGCTACATACCCACATGAATACACGGACTGCAATCATTGACCCGGAAACCCTCGCTGTGTGTCCTGCTCGGGGTGTCTGTCTTCCATCATGCAGAGAGTCACCGACACGCGACGGGTGCGTCATGCGCGCCAGTAGCTGCACGGGCTTTACCTCGAAAGACCAGTGCGCCGGAACGTGGCTGGACGGTTGATTGCCAGATGGAGTGACGAGTGACCCCTTGTGGCGACAATAGGAGTGTACTTGGAGACTTGGAGCTCTACAATACAGGGTTCATAGAAGCGTACTACAGTACTACCCGGTCCTCAGTGTACTTCAGCTTTCAGTGATCCTCAGTGTAGGTGTTCCATGCTGGCAGGGTGGAGTTTACCAGAGATGCTTTCCACCCACGCCTCAATTATCTAGAGATGGGCTTTGTATTCATATTCGCAAATCTGAGAATTCAAGGGGATGCCTCAGCGGATTTTTTGTTAAGTGTTGGTGTTGCATCGTTTGTGTGTGAGAGAGAGTGTCAAGATGTGTCAAGTGTGGGTCAAGTGTGCAACACTCGCGATGGGCAAACTCTGAATCTCTGGGTTGGATGATCAAATCACAACCTTTTAAAGCAGACTTGGATGCACTTCACATCCCTTCACCACGGGGTGGGTCTTCCCTTAACCACTTAACCCGGTGTTCCCTCACCACGCTGGTGTCAGGTACCCTGGCGCCGGCACCGTGCAGTTGGCCGCCTTGGGCGCGTGGTTGGTCGGGGCTCGCAGACGGGCGAAGGTCGACGGTGGGAGGGACCAAAGATCTTGAAGAGGGGTCTGGGGTCTGGGGAAAAAAGCAAGAGAAACACCAGAAAACGACCAATCTGAAAACATGTTTTCTTGTGTTTCTCTTGTTTTTGTCTTCTGTTTTGATTGTCGTGTTTTCTTATGTTTTGTTATGTTTGTGATTGTCTTCTGAATCCTGCCAAATCTTGCCAAATGGTTTGCTTCGATTCCGTAAGGGCCACTCGGTAGGATCGTGGTGTTCGATCTGCGGGTTTGTTGGCCGGTCGAAGACTGAAGACTGAAGAATCAGCGACCAAAAAGCCACAGCAAATGAAAACTGGATTAATCGACCAGTTGTGGTCATCATTGTGTGAGGCAAGCTTCCAAAGGACCCAGCTGTTCAAGGTTGGTTTATTGTATTAACATGGTTGGCGTTAATCGAATCCGGAACGTGCAATGTGACAAAGACATGCTTCAGGTTTGAAAGGTGCAGTGGTGAGTTTGACGGTTTTTGCAGCTTCGTCCACGGTGATGTTGTTTTGGCTGAAGTCCCATCTCAGTGACCCGCAAGTGTTCGATGTTTAGATGTCGCCATAAAAGTACATATATAATTGTTTCAGTATGTTAAGCCAAATTGATCAGGGTCATGTCAACACCGAATTAATCACCCCCCCTTCAAGGTCAACAAGGATTGAGATTGGAGGGATTGGAGACCACATCCCCTTAATAAAGGTGATGACCTGATGATGGATGATGAGATGATGACAAGATTAGGAAATATTGGGATTGGGATGATTGGGATGATTAGGAAAGAGATGAAAGAGATTGGAAGACAAGATGTTTAATTGATTGAAATGAATAGTAAACTATATACTAGTATGTAGTATTTTACATTTTTTTCGCAGCTGGGCTTGATTATCAGGGGGAGAGGCCGCAGGGACCCTACTATTAGTTGTAGGGTGTGTGAGGGGTACCCTCTGTGAGCGTTTTCACAGGGAAGGATGAGAAGAAAAGGGTGGATCAGAAGATCAGTTTCACATAGTTTCACCATGGATCAGAAGATATTGGATACTGCCCAAAAAGAAATTACTTTACTTCGAGTGATCCCCACCATGACATTTCAAGCATTTGTCTTGATGCCATAGTGAGGAGCATGTTGCCATGGTCGTGAGTATTGTAGTTCTCGATTTTGCTTGTGGGTCCTCGGGTTGTGTGCTGTGGTTGTGTTGTGGTTGTGGTTGTGTGCTGTGTTGTGGTTGTGGTTGTGTTTGTGCTTGTGTTTGTTAATGTGTGTTTGTGATTGTGTTTGTGGTACTGATAGTGTTTGTGATTGTGTGTTTGTAGTTGTGGTTGTGGTTGCGGTTGTGTCTTTGTGATTGTGTGTTTGTAGTTGTGGTTGTGGTTGTGCTTGTAGCTTTGTGATTGTGTGTTTGTGGATGTGTTTGTGGATGTGTTTGTGGTTGTGTTTGTGGTTGAGTTCGTGGTTGTGTTTTTGTGGTTGTGTTTGTTGTTGTGTGTTTGTGTTTGTGTGTTCGTGGTTGTGTGTTTGTGGTGTTGTGTGTGTGTGTGATTGTGTCTTTGTAGTTGTGTTTGTAGCTGTGTGTTTGTGATTGTGTCTTTGTAGTTGTGGTTGTGGTTGTGTCTTTGTGATTGTGTGTTTGTGACTGTGTGTTTGTGATTGGGTGTTTGTGATTGTGTGGTTGTGTTTGTGGTTGTGTTTGTGGTTGTGTTTGTGGTTGTGTGTTTGTGGTTGTGCTTGTGGTTGTGTTGGTGGTTGCGTGTTTGTGGTTGCGTGTTTGTGGTTGTGTTTGTGGTTGTGCTTGTGTTTTTTTTGTGGTTGTGCTTGTTGCTGTGTGTTTGTGGCTGTGTGTTTGTGGTTGTGTGTTTGTGGTTGTGCGTTTGTTGTTACGTTTGTGGTTGTGTTTGTGGTTGTGTGTTTGTGGTTGTGTTTGTGGTGTTGTGTTTGTGGTTGTGTGTTTGTGATTGTGTGTGTTTGTGGTTGTGTGGTTGTGGTTGGGTGTTTGTGGTGTCGTGCTTGTGATTGTGTCTTTGTAGTTGTTTGTAGTTGTGTGTTTCTGGTTGTGTGTTTCTAGTTGTGTTTGTGGTGTTGTGTGTGTGATTGTGTCTTTGTAGTTGTGTTTGTAGTTGTGTGTTTGTGGTTATGTTTGTGATTGTGTGTTTGTGATTGTACTTGTGATTGTGTGTTTCTGGTTGTGTGTTTCTGGTTGTGTGTTTCTAGTTGTGTTTGTGGCTGTGTTTGTGGCTATGTGTTTGTGATTGTGTTTTTGTAGTTGTGTTTGTAGTTGTGTTTGTGATTGTGTTTGTGATTCTGCGTTTGTGATTGTGTGTTTCTGGTTGTGTTTGTGGTTGTGTGGTTGTGTGTTTGTGGTTACGTATTTGTGGTTGTGTGTTTGTTGTTGTGTTTTTTGTAATTGTGTGTTTGTGGCTGTGTGCTGTGGTTGAGGTCCGGCAGGGAACGCTGGGCGTGGATGGTCGTAGTTGAGGTCCGGCAGGGAACACTGGGCGTGGATGTTCGTGGTGGGAGAACGAGGAGGAGATGGGGCTGACATAAAATCTAACAACCCTCACCTGACAGGTGGGGAATTAGATAATGGAGAACTAAAAGCTAACTGTATTTTATTTCTGGGGGAGTTGGGTTTGATTAGTAGGGGGAGGTTTCTGCTAGGAACAAAATTATTAGGGTGATGTACATGTGGAGTTCAGGCTTTAAATTTGTTTAGTGTTGGGGGCTCGAGCTGGGCTTAAGGGGAGTAACAATCCTGCGTCAACATTATATCAGGGTGTACCCTAGTGTTAGCACCAGTTGAGGTTGGAAAGTTAAGAACACCGAAAGCTGTTGGAGGGTGCTCGTCTAAGCACGGACTTTGCATAGTTTTCGCCAGCGTCCTTCACTTTAGGTCCATGTCCGGGACCCCTTGACTCTGACACTGAAGCAGAAACTGGGTCCAAACTCAGACGGGAGTCGAGTTTGGCTTTGTCAGGCTTTTGCTTAAGTGCTCGCAATGCGGCGCCACTCGGAGACGCCTCCCATTTCGGTTGAATGGTTTTTCGTTTTTTTCTTTCAGCTGGCCGCTGCTCGCCCAGCTGGCAAGGCGAAGCAAGGATTCCAACTTTGGGATCTGGGCATGGAGATCGTCCGGGTCTCCCAACACCGGCAAGCTGCTGACGCAGTACGGTCAGTCGATGAGGTCAGTGGCAGGGAGTTGGCGGGTTATTCAGTGACAAGAGCTTCATGGGGTGAGTGATAGGAGGTATCAAGTACAGACAGGTGACATGTTCAATATGTTTCAAGCAGATGGAACCCTCTGGATTCCTCAAAATTGTGGGCCCCATTCTGGACTAGGTCGTCGTCCACGCAAAGACTCCCATTCTTCATCCAATCCATCCTTGCCTTTGTGAAGATTGTGAAGCTTCAGTCACTCAGGTTGAGTGACCGATAGATACCACAAAACCCACGCCATCGTCGGCGTCGAAACATAAAAGCCCTTGTCTTAACGGACATCGACCAGGCATGTCGACGCCGGTGACACCCGGCACCTGTACCCACCTGTACCCACCGTTGTGGTTGGAACGGTGGAGTCACGGCACATCCAAACATGCTTCATGCATCACACACGTGCAGACATCGTCCTTGCATACCTACATAGTGCAGTGAGACGACCAATGGCACAGACCCCAAGAGGTGGTTTATATGGACCCCCCATCTAAAGGACATCATGGGGTCTGTGCCATCTACTCTGAAACCACTGTAAATCTGTTTGCGCAGGTCCTTCAGTAGGTCCTTCAGTTGCGCAAGGTACTTTTGGGGTGTAGATGCATGTTGACAGGAATTGGTCAAGGTAACGAGGAGTGGGTTTACAACCCAATGATCTTGTCTTTGCAATGGAACAATGCCACTTCCATGTTAGTTCCAGGAGGGGTATGTCTTGTCGAATGAATCAGTGGCATGTTTGGCAGAAAAATTAGAGCTCGGAAGGCCCATCTTCTGCAGTGAGAAGACGATTGGATTCCGGCCGAATGGGGGTTTCAACCATATCAGGGGCTCACTGTAGTGCACCACACCTCTTCTGCGCCAGTTGGACATGATGTGTTCAGAAATTCTGCGCCTCCGCATGGTGTTTTCTTTGGCCTCCAGATTTCTTTGTTCTTCCAAATCGGTTCGACGCTGCATACCATCCTTGAATCCATGAACACTCCCCGCGCTTCGCCAACATCGGTGGGTTGGCCAAATGTAGAAGTGCAGGCAGGTGGCCTGCAATGCTTTTGCAAGGCATTTACTGTGAGTGTTTCCTTTCGGATTGAAAAGCTTCTTGTGTTCCACCGCTGGGATCAGCGATGATTGGAGACCACCGTTTTCGGGTTGCTGGGTGGGGTCGTCTTCACGTGAGATGTTGGAGCGGACGCCGAATCGTCGAATCTGAGGACTACAAGCTGGAGTTGGGTGGCCGCATGGTCCCTCGAGCTGAGTGGGCGCAGCCACGATGCCCAAGAGTCCGGGGAGAGTGGTGTGTGAAGAGCAGGGAAACAAAAGGGGTCGTTGTGTCAAATTACATAAGTTCTTGCTAGTTAAGAAACAAACACAATTTCAAAACATGTTGAAGCATGTTCAGGTGTTTGTGTGTTTAGAATCGGGCTTTTCACGCACACAATACCTTGAGCCACATGTCCTTGGCATAGTCTTGTGAACAGGGCATGGCACAAGAGCATAACATGAACCGTTGGGAAACATACGAAAGGAGTTCGCAAAAAAGGGGGTCCGGGGGACGTGTGTGAATGAGTTGAAGACATTGCTTTGGTCCCAAATGAAGAACAGACAGAAGCAAAGTGTTTGTGAATGGACGGTTCTGAGACAGAGTGTATCAGTGGCTGTACCGACGTGGTTGCACTTGAAGAACAAGTGCCGGACCTTAGCATCAATGTCCTTGAAATCATTGAAACAACGTTTTGTCGTACTTGCCCTCACCCCCTCTGCTCCAAAAGTAGCAAAAACATGCCAACACTGTTTTTCTTTCACGAAACATGTTACAAACACACGGCCGTGGGTGGGCATATGTCCTTGTCTTGGATGTTGTGTGTGTGTTTTGCTTTTGCCTGGGATCGTGAATCCCAAGCTCATAATATACTTGTTCAACCGAGTTGAAACCACCAATCAGAATGCACTCCCACAAGGGGCAAAAATGACCATCTCCACTCCAATGAGGTGTAGGGCCGTGTAGGGACCCATCTTGGGGCCCATCTTAGACACGCAGGAAGGTCCGCGAGCTGCGGACATTGGCCATTCCTTTGGAGACGCCTTTAGGCCGAAAAGCACGGTCCGGAACAGAGCACGTTATGGGCTTTTCGGAAAACACACATCCTAGCACGCAAGTGGGCGGCCAAAAAGACATATATAATTAGTTTATATTAGTATACACTTCAGAAAAGATAAGATGCATATAACAAGAAACTAAAAAATGTGAACGCAGTCTCCAAATCCTGATGTCCTTAGATCTACATGTAACGTTGACCGCGGCTGATGGCTGAACCATTCTCCAAACTGATGGCTGTCCAGGCATTGGGGGGATGGAAGTCTATCCATTGACATGACTACCAACGTGTCACATGCCATTGTTGGTGATATGTCCTGTGTGATCTACAAGAGATCTTGACAGATGGTGTTATCAGGGACAGAAAGAAACATTCCGGTCTTTATGATGTACCCGACATGTATTCGGGCACTCACCAAACCAATATGATTACGCAATAGACTCCCATGTTTTGCAGGAGAGCAGCTGATGTTCACCCTGATGTCAGCCATTGAAAACAAGTAAAAACCGGTACATGAACTCTACACACCTTTGGCTCCAACTCTGGCGCTTTGAAAGAGTTCCTGGTTTGTGGTTCGCGTCATCCTGTGGAACCTGGATTCCGACCCCGGTGCGCCGAAGCGGCCAGGTGACGAGGGCTCCGCCCCGAAGCTTCTGGCCATGCTCCGGGAGGTGCCGTGCCGCGAAGGCGGTCGCTGGGTGAAGAGGGTGGCTGGGCGGCTAGAGAGGAAAGCAGTCCAGAGTGAAGAAAGAAAAGGATGGCGAAAGAAACCGCATGATCTCCTCATATGAGGGCCGTCCGTTATTGCCAGTGAAGGAATTTAGATGAAATGTTAAAACATACATGTCGCGAAAGGGAAACTGCAGTCCGCGAAAGGCCGGCGATAGGACGGCGAAAGACATGTGCCAACCTAGACTTATAACATACAATGTGCATAACATTACAATACATGACAATACATGACACATCCTTTTTCCCGAACAGAAACACGGATTTTCGCGAAAGGGCCGCGAAAGGCCGGCGGTAGGCCCGCGAAAGGGCGCATTGCCTGGAAGGGCATCTGCCCATCCATGGCCTTGAAACCTTTGTTTAGATATCCCAAACACTGTGAACTCAGTGCAATGGAACAAGCTTATCACAATGCGCGAAAGGAACACCTGTGGTTTTTCTGCAAACGCGAAAGGACCGCGAAAGGCCGGCGATACAAGCTCAAAAAGAAGAGCTTTGTTGGACAACCCCCATATGTACTGTATTGGAAAAAAACGAGGGAGTGCAGAGAGCGCGCGAGCGCAGGGATCCCAAGCTGGGTTGTTGTCAGCATATATATATATATTATATATATATATATCATTATCATATGAATGATGCCGCCTCAAAAACAAACCTTTGTTCTATGCATGGGGATAAAATGCAACAACTCAGGATCAATTACTGAATGTCCATTTGTGTTTGCGTCCATCAACGACCATGCAGTGGCTGTCGGCTTGAAGACCTGCAGCGCACGCAGCTCGCAGTTTCAGGTGCCAGATGACGAACGAGGTGGGTCCGGGCGTGGACGCCACCACCGCATTGAGCCGATTGAGCTTTTGTCCCCCCTCAGGCAGTTTTTTGGACATGCTCAGCGGCGTTCAGAGGGTGAGAAGAAAACGATACACTCAAAAACCATTTGTTGTTTAATTCATCATATCTTTGTCCACTATTAGTGTTTCTCGGGATGGGAAACCATCCCGTTCAACAATTCCAGGGTGCCCATGGACTACCTTACTGGAAGGCTGCTTGGGGCATTTTGGGGCAACATTTTGATATAGCGTAGAGGTAAATCCCAGAGTCTCACCATTGTGGGGTTGATAACATGGTGTGTCGTAAAAGGATTGTTTTCACTAAAGTTGATACCAGACCCAGCCAATGTTGGGCAAATCCTGCGTTACTTGAAACCCTAAACCCTAAACCCTCGCCCAACAGCACGTCCGTTACATGTTGACCCTCATGGGGTCCCCAGACTTCTGGCACTTGACCGGCGCTTCCCCGTCCGATTCGGGCGACTGGGCCTGGGGGGGTGCCAGGAGATCCGCCAGGGCCCAAGAGGCTTCCAAGGAAGACCATCGAGTTGCAGCACCTTGAAAGGTGTATAGAGTGTATAGAGTTTGTTGTTCACTTTTGGAGAGGAAAGGAGAAGGATAGTTCACTATTGAATTGACCTTGTAACTGCCTATGTCACAAAATGTCAGAAGCCGAAATCGGTAGGACTGACTGTAAGGAAGCATTTGCGATTTGGACCAGATGAGAACGGTGACATGTCGGGGGGTGTCCTGCTGGTCGGGCGAACACCGAAGTTTTGGACGAACGGTGCCGATTTCAAGCGGTCACGGGACCCGTCGACGGAATCGGCCTGGTCGACGGAATCGGAGTTGCGGCCTGGATGGTCTAGGAAATAGAGGGCATGCGAAGATTCTACTCCCCTTAGCAGATCACAAAAGGTAGCTTTAGCTATCTGGGTTGTCCTTGTTTCAACAAAAATTATACTTATTACAATCTGGAGTTGGGATTGTGCATTGGCTCTCTAAGGAAGGATTCTTCATCATTAGGGAGTGGGGGCCCACTTTGCCGGTGGATCAAATCCCCCCTGTGCCGTTGCTGTTGCTCTTGTTGCTGCTTTTGCTGCTGCTGCTCTACCTCTTTCTTGCTGGTGCTCTTGCTGCTGGTCTTGCTATTCTTAATTCTTGCTGCTGCTCATGGTCACACCTGTGACTTATGGACCGTGACTTGATTCTTCATTGGCAGTTGGAAGATGGAAGTGTGTGCCAAGACGACCGCAAAGGCCAAAGACGACCGCAAAAGCGGAGTTGCCGGCCAGGGCAGGGAACCCCAATTGGAGGACCAGAAGGGAATTCTCCACTGAATTTGGTGATGAGTGATGAGATGTGATGAGTGTTGACATAACCTAGCCATTCAGGAAGTCCTCGCAAAAGGATAGGCCCTGAGCACCCTGGGCCATGAAACAACAAACGAAACGGGCGCCAGTGTCCGTTGGAGACAGAGTGTTTTGCCTGGTGTGTCAACCTCCGCAAATGCCCCTGTCCCAGTCCCTGTCCCATGTACATACATCAAATATATTATACACATATATATATATATATGTGCAGGAACAGTCAAGGGATGCTGGTGTGTGGTTTGATTTGGGTGAAACGTGCTGAACCTGAGTAATATTATGCGTACATGCAGCAGTGTTTTGTTAGTATTACAGCAATAAAATCTTTCATTGTAGAGAGCCTGTGTTAAAATGTTTAAACAAAGTCAAGAAAAAAGTCAACTTAGTAGTCAGTCCCAAAAGTCAAAGTCAAAAAAAGTCAATTGGCCCAGATCCAACTCTTTTCTTGTTGTGTCTCTGGTTTTGACTGTTGTGTTGTTTCTTTGACTATTTTTCGACTTTTTCAACACTTTGTTGACTTTTATTTGACTTTGTTTTAGACTTGTTTGAGTTGTTTCCTAATGTTTGTTGACTGCTGTTTTTGACTTGTATATTGACTTTGTGATTAATCAAAGTCAGTTTATTTTAACGTTAGTAGCGTGCTTTTGTATATGCATAATTAGTGTACATGCATAGAGCCAGGCACGTCAGCGTCAAACTGTTTTCAAACGTCAATCACTCAGAAGTGCATGCTGCCCCCGCCACATGGCCGCTGATTCCGCCGATCCAAGTCACGAGTGAGTCACGAGTGACGTGAAGACAATCCTTGGGGAATCCTTTATCGACTGGGTCGATTCTCCCTTCGTGAAGCAGAAATTCTCGCTGTCTCGGGCCGGGCCAAGTCGGTGGGTTTTGCGGGTTCGGTCACGGAGGGCACTCCAGCGATCGAGCAAGCCTCGTGTTTGTCCCCTGTCAGGTGAGGGTTGTTAGATTTGATGTCAGCTGCCTTGCTCCTGCTCCTCTCCTCGCCTCTTGAAATGTGATGAGTCGGGAGGACATGGCAGCGTTCACCCGGGAAACCTCGGGCGATATGGCGCCATTCGCGGACTGGACTCTCTCCCTCATGCTAGTACGCCTTGCTACAGGACATGCACTAGCCAACACCGAACTAGCGCTGGACTGAATCAGTTATGTTTCATACATGTGTCATCAATGACATTTTAAATGAAACATGTCAGGAATGTGTTTATGGTTGAAGTAAACAAAATCACCAGATGATGACTTGTCATACCATGACAGAATGAATTAAATTAAGGGCACAAGCTGGCATCCCGCCGAATATGCAGATCGCTCAGATGAATGGTTTCAACGTTCAAATCATGAACGGGTCTGTGGGAGGAGGTCCAGAGTCCAGCCGCCTTTCCCGCACAGCCACCACCAGGACCAATGCAGCCACCGGCCATGCCCATGTCCATGCCACCGTGCACAGTCAGGAATGACCAACACGGCAAACCCCAGCCCCATGTTCCCCTGCCAATCTGGCATGCTGCCTGGTGGCACGCACCACCATCCACAGGGAGTGCTGGAGTGCTGGGATCCTTGGCTCCACCAGGACCAGAATGTGAGAAAGAATGTCAGCAGATATGCCAGAAAGAATGTAAGAAGAGATGCCAGAAGGAATGTCCGAAGAGATGCTAGAACCCATGTCCGAAATAATGTTATAAGATATGCCAGAAAGAATGCCAAAAGAATATTTCAACGCATGCCAGAAATGTGTCAGATTGAAATGTCATGGTGGGGATCACTCGAAGTAAAGTAATTTTGCGTAAGTTTTCTACGCATGTTTGCTTGTTCGTTAAATCAGATCAGTGATGTCTACCCTCCGGAAGTAGATAGCATGGCCCTTTGGGACACCATCCTCCTTTCCCTAAAAGAGCATGTTTTCCACGTGGCGGGAGTGCAATGATCCGTTCTCAGCAGTTTCAATTTGAGAGAGAATCTTCAACTGACCCGGGTGACTCCCCAATTCAATATGAAAATCCCGTGGAAGTTGTCTATTATATATAGGATATTATAGGATGAGCGCAGCAACTGAACTGGAAGATTCTTGTTTTAAGATTTACGCTCCTACAGTAGGTCTGAGGTTGGCTGCCTTTATCTTCAACCATGACGTGGCTGAATCCTATGCGTGAACCACCAACACTTCCCAGGTCTTCGTGGCTGTTTACTGTAGTTCTGCTCGGGAAGTAGAAGACAAGTGCTTGCCAAGCAATCTTGTGGCTTCCTTTCCAGCTTCGTTGAGTCTGAGGATGTCAAGATGCCATCAGAGGAGCCTGCAATGGTTGGATAAAAAAAAAGACAAGGATGCCGAGTTGATTTTGTGTCGTTTTCACTGACCACAAAGAAAACTGCGCGAGTTATCTCATGCTCATTCTCGTTCCCGGTGTGCACATTGCGCAAAATCGATGGCGATATTCTCTTTGTTCATATACATACAGTATGAGCCATGACATGATTAAAACGATACAATGTCAATCAAGAGAGTTGGCTTGTGCGCAAAATCCTATAAAATGATAAGGCCCCCAAACCGATAATCCTCGCGCTATATATCAATATAGGGCAGATTTACAACACAATAAAACGATGGTCCAATTAAATATAGAATTTTGATGTAAAATTTATATATTTTTTTAATATATAATATATTAATTAATAATAATTGAATATGTTTGATATATTTTGATTTTGCGAATTATAATCGAATTATTATGAAAAGGTAATTTTTTAGGGGATATTTTGAATTTGTTTTACGAAATAAATATTATTTTTTGTTTTTTTTCGAATTAACTAATTAATTATTTAATTTAATTTGTTTTTTTTTTGGAATTGATTTTTAAATATAATTTTATTTATTTATTTTTTTGGGGGAATTTATTTTATAATATAGATTGTTTTTCGATTTTTTTATAAGTTTAGGATAATTGAATTTTTTTTAAATATTTAGAAACAAAAAAAAATATATATTTATAATTTTATTTATGAAATTGAGAAATGAAGGTTACGTATGAAAGCATTATTAATTTTAATTATGGTATGGTTACGTGGCCTAATGCATAGGGGCCGTAGTTGATTTTAATTTTTTTTAATTTTTGCCATGGCGTTGGAAAAGTATGTATTTCGCTGCTGAGGGTATTTATCGGTTCATAGTGGTATTGTAGAGTTGAGGTGGACGTTTTAGGCCATCTGAGCGATGAATGGAAAAAAAATAAAGGAAAACACAAATTCCGTCGAGCCGTTGGGTATGTAACCGAGAATAAAGAGACTACGATTAGAGCAGCTGAATTTCTAGGGAGGGATAGGAATCCCCTATCTTCCTATGACGACGACAACCCCGAGGTTACCTTCCGGCAGACGAGAAGCTGGTGGAATTTTGGCTACTGGAAACCGAGGTCAATCGGGCCAAGAGAGGCATTAGGCTGCTTAGGCAGCTGAGTGGAGTGGCCGCTACGGCCGTGAACGACATGGAGGTGAAGGAAATCGCTAGTGAAAATGGTGTTTAAAACATCCTCCACCGGTTTAGGGATTATTTCGCACCGCACTTTGAAGTCTCCTTTCTAAGAGCTTTTGAGACCGCGATCTATGGGCTTTAACGTGGTTCTAAGGAATACTTCGCGGAGTATACCAAAAGGATGGATCGAGCCTTCCACCGATTGGGCGTGGAGGGCGTTGAGTTGCCCGACAGTATACGCGGTTACATCATGTATCGTTAGGTCGCTTTGACTGAGGCTCAGGAGCAGCGCTTGTTTACGTGGTCGCAAGGCTCGTAAGGCCGTTATGGGAGAAAGGAAATCACAGAATCCTTGAGACGATTGGACAAGATCCTTAAGGAGAAGGCGAAGGGAAGCTATGTGACTGAAGAGTCCTTCGTTTTTGAGAACCCGGCCGGCGATACCTACGACGAGGACTTCACCTACGCTGGATGGGAGGACGAGGACCCCGATTACATCTTCCTGACGGAGGGGGATTTGGACGAGGTCATGGATGAACAGGACGTCATGGCTGCTTTGGCCGCCTACTAAGACACGAGGCAGGCGCTCAAGGATCAGCGGCTCGGCAGAGGGTATTTCCCCGGGAAGGGGAAAGGAAAAGTCAATTCGTTCCAGAAGGGCAAGGAGAAGGGCAAGCGCAGAGTTCACATCGAGCAGCTGAAGCTGAGGACGCGATGCCGCCGGTGCTAGCAGATCGGGCATTGGGAGCGAGAGTGCAAGAACGCTCCGGTGGCAAGGATAAGCAGTGAACCAGCCCGGACCTTCTTTGTAGGACTTTAGCCAGGCTCCGAGAGCGTTGAGTTTTCCGGTGAGTCGCAGCAATATTGGCTGCGCAACTTTGTGAAGGAGCGGAAGTCCCATTCGAGGCCCGCTACTGACAGTGAATCCGAGGAGGCATACATGGAGCGGGCATGTGTGGGCTCGGAGGGTTCGGAGAATTTTTGTGGCATCACCACCAAGTCGTTCGAGGGGATCGTCGATACCGCGGCCGAGGGCGGACTCGTGGGTCGAGCACCACTCGCACGGCTGGAAATGTTGATGCGGGGGTTACGCATCAAATGGACCCCGAAGCAAACGTCAGCCAAGGGAGTCGGTGGCAACGCGGTGGTCGAGGGGGAGTCGGTGGCAACGCGGTGGTCGAGGGGGTCGCACTTATCCCATTGGGCATTGGGGGCATCAATGGGGTGCTGGAGACCACGGTGGTGCAGGGAGACGTACCCCTTCTACTACCAGTTCGTTTGTTGGTGACCCTGGCGGCCAAGATAGACCTCAAGAATATGGTCATGGAGTTGCAAAACCACCAGGTTGAGGTTCCACTACATCCCCTACCAAGCGGTCACGTCACGGTCAACATCCTCTCGTTCGCAGCCGGTCGATTCGATGTTCCGCGGGAAGCCGGGGAGCAATCCGAGTTTGAGGTGAACGCTTCGTGTTTCATGGCCACAGCTATGCCGGTTCAATCCGACGGCCACCAATTCGATTTGCGCCCAGACGCCCAAATCCCACCTTCATCCAATGGCGTCGTTGCTCCAGAAGGCGAAAGCATTGGTGGGAAGTCATCCTACGGTGGATCCAACACCGATGGAAGTGGCGCCCAAGATTCTCAACCCGAGGGTGCCCTTGAAACACTGGCGCATCATCCTGGACAAGATCGGCATTTTGCTGGTTTTGGCGGCTTTGCAAGACGCCACCGAGGCGTGGTGCTTGGAGCTGGGCTCGCAGCGGCAGGCACGCAGCTCGATGGACAGCATCGAGGACTACTACGCGGAGGTGATCACGCGCGCTCCAGCGCTCAAGCCCCTGCAGAGCAAAACTGGACCGACCGCTTCCGCCAGCAGTTGCATTCACCCGAAGAACCAGTTGAAGGGTGGTGGCAACGGTTCCAGTTCCTACATCGTGTGCAAAGCGTGCCATTCCAGGTGGACCCACTCCGAAAGGTCAGCCGATGTCCACAAGCTGCTGAAGCACGGCCCCTTGAGCATCAAACAGGGCAAGGCAGAGGCGTCGTCACCTACCCGGACCAGTGCCCTGGCTGCAGCCCCAGTGACTCCTCCTCGCTCGGAGGGACGCATGCTGGTCGACGCCATGTATGGCAGCCCCTCAACGGAAGGCTCGATGGCCCTGGTCAAGGAGGACCTCCGAGTGGAGATGAACACCCACATGCAGATGATCCTGCAGCAGCTCAAGAACGAGCAGGCGGCCTCCACGATCCAGATGTCGCAGTTCAATGCAGTTCAACACCAGCAGATGTCCGACGAGCTGCACAAAGCCACCCTTTTTTTTTGCACGAGTGGAGGCGCTGTGTGTGCAGGTTGTGCACAAGTCACCTTAGTCGAGTGAATAGAGAGTTACCAGCCAGGTTGCGACCCAACAGAGAAAAGAAGAACATAAACCAGCCCCCAAACAACAAACCAAACAAACACCAAACAACAACCGGAAAGGGAGCAACCTGTAGAGTAACTCGAAGTGCCAAGAAAGCATGAAGAGAGGTGAAACAGGGGCAGTGAATTCAGCAAAGCACTCAGAAATTCTTGTCCATCGACGAAATGGCAAATGCAAGATCTACTGCCCACAGAAGTAAAACTCAAACAACTGCGGTCGATTTATGCAAGGATCTTGCTTGGACTGGCTTTGCATCAGAGCACGAAAGAGTCCCATGACCGACATCAATTCGCGCTTGCATGCTTAGTCCACAAGATTTCATCTTGGGCTCGTATTGAGTCAGATAATTTGCTTGACGGCTGGCAGCTACAAGCCTCGTGCAAGCCAAGGTGACTACCTGGGAAGACCACAGTCCCCATGCTCGGAATGTCCAACATACCGAAAGTGAAGACCGTGTAATGCCACTGGCGAGCTTTCAAAAAGAGGCAAAGGGAATTGCATCTCCCATGCCTCCCCCGAGGGGGAGGCAACAAAGACAGCACATCAAACGCTCTTCTCCAGAAACGGCTCATCGCCGAGAGCAAAGCAAGACATGCAGCATGGGCGGCGAAAGAGGGCAGGGGATAGGCAAATACCTTTGAAGTGTGCTGCAAAAATGTCGCAATTGTAAATCTGACTGCATCTTTCAAACGCGGCCAGGTATGATTAGGCCGATACATGCAGAGCCCCATGAGCTACTCGAAAATAGATGAAACAGAGTGAAACGCCGTTTTCCTAATTCTGTACACTGTACCCATCCAGAACCACTACGCGGGTAGCAGCCTGGGCACTGTCTAGCTACTCAGGCCAACGAAAGCGAAGAGCAAAACGAAATTGATTGGCATTCTTAGGACCAACACACGGGTGCTAGTCTCAGAGTCTAGCAAGCAGGGGTTGACGTGTATTTGTCGCCGTGTGTGGCAATTGGTCCTATTACGCTCCTATTACGCTCCAAGTCCTAGTTGTCGGCACTTTATCGAAAGTACTCCTGGATGTTTCTTTGGTGGGCAAATTGCTCGTTTGAATACTCAGCGAGGATGGCCTCTGACGTAGGCAGGGCCAGCACACGGGTGCCAGCTGAGGGGCATGGCAGCTGAGGCGTTGCCACATGCGGTTCCGTGTACCCTCAGTTAAGGACTCCAAAGGAGTCATCTGCCCATTGATCCTCATCTGTCGGATTGCGAGGTATCCATGAGCTGCACAAAGCCACCCTGGCGAATCGGGAACAAGACCTCCGGCAAGAGAAGCTGATGCAGCTGATCATTCAGCAGCAAACCTCACCGGCACCCTCTACGCCAGGGAAGAAAGATCCACGAGCAAGCTCGCGACGATCGCCCCCTCCGACTACCAAGAAGACCTGCCTATGCGGGAAGCCTGCGGAAGCATTGATTGTGAAGAAGGAGGGACCTCGAAAGGGCCGCATGTTCTGGAAGTGCGTCCAGCGCAAATGCGACCTCTTCGAATGGATCGACGA